TCCACAATTCATTTTAACCCAACATGACTTTGTGTCGCCAAGATGAATGCCATATAAAGTATGAAAATCATGCCCCACACGCCATATAAAGTACAAAATAATAAATTTTGCTCCTTTTAACAAATCAATTATGGCAAATAAGCTTCTTTTACCAATTTGGAACGATTCCTAAGACGGATTAAATCTCCGCTTACGCGTTAATAGGGCAAATTATATCGCGCGTCAATTGTCCCAAATTGGTCAAAATGGCAATCTTTAAACCCTCATAACTTTACCAAAAATGATCACAGGTAAAATATCTTTTCAAATTTAAGCACAGGACAACAATAGCTTCCGAATGATATTAAAAAACTTCGTCAAAAATGGCTAGTTAAAAAGTCGAAAATTGTCTGAAGAAAAAACCCTTCCCGAGCACAAATATTCCGTTACTTTTGTATCGAAAGTCGGAACAATAATCGATAAGCGTTCGTTAGCTCAAAACTAAATAATTAGATGCTCGTAGAAAAAAAACCGTACGAAAACTGTCGTCATGAAAATTGTTGAACGATTGCGTTTTAAAAATTCGAACTTTTAACTCACAGCCCTGATTTTCTTCTGAAATTAATATTCCATTTTCCCCTAAAAATGACGCAAAAACAAATTAATTACGCTGACAAAACATGTGTCAAAGCAATTCAGGTCGAATAAAGTTTTCTAGTGAAAAACAAACAAACAGAGAAAAGTATACTCAAAGAGAAGAAAATATAGGAAAAGAAGTCCTTGTTAAAAACATTTCAAATTAATAGAATCAACAACACTACAGCTACAACAAAGTAGCTCCAAAAACTTGTCTTACAGCACAAAAAAAAATAAAAATTGTGATGTGGCAGCTAAACGGACAAAAAATAGCTGATAAACGGAAGTTCGACCTACTACTTTTTCCCGAAAAAAAGTCAATTTCATGTGCATTAAAAAAACGTCCGATCTGACCGTGAATCGAATCCTAAATCTTATAATGCAAAGACAACTGCATTACGTCTAGACCAATTGAGAAGAGGCCTGGAAGGTTCAATATTAAATCAAGTTAAATTATTGTACATTTGAAATCAAAATAAAGCATCGAAAATGAAGAAAAATTGTTATTTTTTTCCAAATAGTGAAGAAAATCGATTTAACATCTGAATGATAGATGATAACTAAAAGAGTGCATGGTAGAAAAGAAGAAAAGTTATCTGAAATTTGCAAAAACTGGAGTCTGAAAACGAATAATCAAAATATGGCTTCTGGAATATAAAAAGAATTGATTCATCAAAATTCGAAATCAACGAAGTTTTAGCACAGCAACCTTAAGCCGTCGCAATTTTTTTACATACTTTTACGCACCTACAAAACATTCATATCCTTTTAAAAAAAAATGTTTTCAAAAAAAGTTTAAAAAATTACCCAAAATGGCAAAATTTTAATGATCATTTTTCATAAATAATTATAAAGAAACGTATATCGTATTACTCACACTTTACAGTAGACTTACAAAAAATAACAAAACAAAAACAAAGCAGAGAATTTTATGTAAATTATACTGCATATGACACAATAAGAATTTTTCAAAAAATGTTTGCAAAATATTTTTAGTCAATTAATTGAAGTAGAACCCTAGAGCCATTTCTAAGTTTGTTTTGAAAAAACCAAAAACTAACTTAGAGCAGCAGGAAGCTCGTAAAAAAGCCTTTTAAAAACGAGGACAATTTTTATCCGCGAAGGATCGAGTGCGAGAAAAGGCTCATTCACTCAATATCCTCTAAACTGTCAAAAACTGACTGCTTGCAACTCATTTTTCCTTCAAACTTATGAGTAACTAATTCTGATTGTGTGAAACACTTTTTGCGCATGAGAGATTCTCCTTTAAGTACAGCTATTTTTTAATGACATTTGATCAAAGGAAACAGTACATGCGTAATGCAAAAAACATTGAGCTGGTAATTTTAACTTAATTTTAACAGTGGTGAAGCAGAGTTTCGAACCACTTGCAATGCAATACACATAAAACGAAAAATTAGTGGGCATAAAACCAATCACAAGCCTCGGTCGAAAAAATGACAAAAAAACACGAAAATTTTATGTTTGTCGTAATTTGTAATCAATAAAGTTCTTTTTTAAGCAAAAACATGTCAACTACGAAGCGGTCACAAAGCCGACAATACTTGAGCAGACAAAAATTGGGCCAAAAAAATGTTTTCAACAAAAAACCTGAAATTAGGTCCCCTCGCTCAAAACACAAACCTACACTTTTAAAATTAATTAGATTATACGGCGCAATATGAGGGCACAACGCCGTTATTATATGAGCCGAAACCTTTAAAGCTGATCAAGTAAAACCTAAGAGAAATTTCCACAAATCGGCGTTGGTAAAGTTAAAAGCATTATAATATATATTTAAAAGCTGGAGAGAGTTGGCGATGTGAGTCCATCTTGTAGTTTCCCCAGAGTATAGCTGCAAAATTAGCCTTTTCCTCCCAAAAGCGTCTTTCATGCCTCCTCGCTGCACAACTTACTCACAAAAAAACAATATTTTTTTAAATTATGTAACACCTCTTAAGAGCAAATTTTTTGCGCGGAAGAAAAAATTGCATCACAAAACAGCTCTTTGAAGTTGAGGAGTCTTTTTCAGACTTCTTATTTGTAAGACTAAGCCAATAAGAAAACATTGGATCAATAGGATAATTGTTTGCTCTGCTAATAAATCTATAAATCACACAGAGGAGAAGCTGAGCTTCACACCACTTGCGACACAAAATGAATGACTATGATTACCAGTAGATGAAAAGACGAATCAAAAAGTAAGAAAAAAACTTTCAAATTTTTTTTGTTTGTAAAAAAAAGTTATAAAAACTGCACAACAAATCCTGGAACAAAATTACTTGTACCATAAGTGACTTTTATAAAACTTTCAACATGCTAAAAAGAAACTGAACCTTTCTTCGGGATCTAAATCGACAAAACTTACTACGAAAGTCTGGTGGAATATACAAAAATTTTCAGCGTCAACAGAAAAACAGGTCCCGATTGGAATCGAACTTCTGAGATTTCTCTTCTCAAGCATGGGTATCACCACTGCAGTAAATGCATAGAATACTCCTTGAATTTATAAAGAAACAACTTCCAAAAATTTATAATGTACAGCATGAAAAATCAAAAATCGGCAAAAAAAAATAAGCAAAACTTTGAGAACTCAATTAGTTGCGCAAAACCGGAAAACGCTGAAATATCTTTTAAATTGAGTAAAAAAGGCTCAAAATAACTAAACCGACAAAACAAGCAGACAAACAGAAGTCCGACGAAAATTTTTGACTTGCGGACATTTTCGTCTTACAAAAAAGCAGGTCCTGGCCAGTTTCCAACCATTGACCTTTCTCTTTGAAGGCAGGTGCGCTAACTTTTTGCCACATGCGCAAAATAACGACTGACTATTGATTTCATGTGAATTAAAGGTAAACTGATTCTGTTAAATTAATTGCTAACGCGAAAAAGTCTATATTCCGGTTTGACATCGATTGCTAATTGCCAGCGTAATTGTCCACTTTCAAAACTACAAGTAACTTTTTGTCTTTTGCTCTTTTTTGATTCGAAAGCGCAGTTCATCGCCTTTCTAGCAAAAGAGTTTTACTGTTGTTTATAAGTACGAAAAATCAAACCTTTGAAATAATCAAATTTGAGTGATTTCATTTTTGAATGAATTTTCCCGTAGAAAACATCTAAATAAAACTCTATGACCTGAATATGTGCATTTACTTTTATTTACATACGAATTAGATAGCATTGAGTAATTGGCAAATGCTTCGAAGTTAAGGCTTGTTTACAAAAGCTTGCTTACAAAAAATCCTTGCAGTGACTGAATTCCAACTCAATTTCGCGCGATCATCTGGCTATTTATAGCCTCGAACTCAAAAATTGACCTAACTAGGTGCTCAGCTCAAACTGGATTTACCTGTTCGATAATTTCTAAAATTTTTTGTACTGACGAGGGATGGAATGGGTTATGTCAACATTTCAAAAATGGACTTCAAACAAAACTAATCAGTTCTCAAAGATTACTTTGTTCTCCACTAAAATAAGTAAGCGTAAAAATTTTGAGAAATTCGAGTTTTTTCCAAGGACAGTAATTTTTATACAAAAAAGGGGTAGCCGCTGCTTCTACGGAAAAAGTTCTCGCAACCGGTTCCTTCGATTGAAACCTATAACTCGGAGTTTCGTAATACTTCAAAAATTGAGAAACTTTCCAAAAGCCATATTTTATCAAAATAAAAGCTAGGTCCTGCCCGATTATTCAGAGAAGGTTCCGAAAACCGTGTTTCTCGACTGACTTACCCTAAACATTGGCAGTGTACTTTTCGGGAAAAGTCAAAAAGTTTTCAAAAACTATCGAAGTTGCAAACTTTGTCTTGTTTGAAGGCCATAATTTCTTTTAATTTAACTGGGTATATCCCTTGAACCCAAAATCTCAGATTTGGGTGAGTAGTTTTTGAGAATATAGGTCAAAAATTCCGCCCAGAATTTTTCGAAAGTTGTAGAAAGAGACTAGGGGATAAAGTAGGCAGACAGAGGATGGGCAGTCTTTCCATTTGTATCATTTTTTTTTGAAAATCTGTGGTTTTTGGTTTTTCAGAAAAAGTAAAATTTTCGAAAAACTAAGTTTTCTAATGCCTCTCAAAACAAACAATAAAACCAAATCCCACATATTTACTTAATACCTGATTTTATCACTTATAAAGAGAATTTTTTTTTTTTAAAAAACGGAAACAAATACTCTTTTTTTTGCAAAAAAAACAGCTAGACTCAATTATATCTTTTCCATAAATACGACAGTAGTTTAAACTGGACCAGCTAAAATATCAGCTAGAGTTCAAGACGCTTTGTTGTTTAGCTCACAGTCGATCTATCTGAAATAGAAGTCAGGCGTGGCAAACGGACCTGACCTAGCAAAAAACTTGGAATTACTGTCACAGCCATTTTGAAACTAAATATCCTGTTGAAAATTTAATTTGAAAAAATAGATGATCATTTACAGACAATACTTACAGATTAATATAAATTGAGCGAAAAACATTCATTTTTATCGCTAATGGCTGGAAAACTTGTGTACAGCACTGACAACATAATCTTTTATGAATCGAAACTTTTAGCAGCAATAATTGAAACTTATGGATCGCAATAAGCTTTTCTGTAATGCATTTTTTCACTATTTAATGTAATCAGTCAGTTTACCACTAAGTTATAAAAAGAGAAAGGCCAGTTCAAGAGACTTCATTTGATTGTGGATGTCAGTTGTTTTGCTTTAGTTAATGTTAGCGCCTGATTAGAAGCTCTTGATGAATGTCTCTGCGGTGGATCTGGCTCTCGCGTTGACTGCCAACTTCATCTCGTTGATCTCTTTGTCAATCTCATCCAGGAAGCTGATGATAAAGTCTATCAGTTTGTGTTTGTACATCTGCTCCGTGTTCACATTCGTGATCAGAAAACTGATATCGTAGCCCTACACGGCATAGTGTCAGTTGAATTACACACAATTTTTGACGTTTTTCAATTCTTTTCAATCATAAAATAACTTCAAACGTTGACATGAAAAATCTAGGTTTCTTGAAACACGAAATTTGCTTGAGTAATTCAGTCGCTTTTTATTAAAAAAAATTAAACAAAAATAAGAAAAAAACATTGATTTACCTCTAGTGGCTTCCGTCGCAGAATTTTAAACTGCTCGGCTCTCTGGCACAGGAATCGCGTGAATTTCTTGGTCAGAATCTTTTCCACATCGTCAGACTAAACGGCTCAAAATTATACACTGAGGCAAATCTAAGCTTCACACCACTTGCCATACAACAAACATAAAAAAAAACATAAATCGAAAAAAAATAATGTTAAAAAAACCAAGTGCCAATTTAAAGCTGGAGGTACAAATTTAGTATTGAATGAATTTGGTACACTGATCCGGCACGAACAATGTGAAGTCAAAAGTTGGACTTTGCCCAAAACCCTAGTTGTTTCTCTACTAAAATAAGAGAGAATAAAAGATTTGAGATAACCAATTTTCTCAAGTGGATAAAAATTCTCGGTTCCAAAAAATTTCTCGGTAAACCTATGATATCAGAGTTGGCAGGATAGTAAGCGAGAAAAGTCCAAAAAACATTTTGACATTTCCGAGAATTTTGAGTGCAAATATAGGGCGTAGCCGTTTCTGCAGAAGAGATTCACGCAACCTGTGATTTCGATTGACCCCAAATCTCAGATTTGGGAGGGTATTTCTCGAGAAAGTCATAAGTTTAAAAAAAAAAAACGGTCGAAAAAATCAAAATTTTGACTTTTCCGAGGGATATAACTTTTCGTTTTAGAAAAATTTGGGGGCAGTTGTATACGCGAAGTAGCTTACTGTAACCCGTCCTTTGAATTGAACACAAAACCTCAGATAATGCAGGGCAGTTTTCGAATATTCGGTAAGTTAAAACAGTCAAAAATCAAAGATTTGACTTTTCCGAGGACGATAACTTTTTGTGTGAAAAACTTTGTGAGTGGCCGCTAATGCAGGGGAGCTTTTACTACCCGTTATCTCCATTGAACCTACAATGTTAGGTTTGATAGGTTGTTTTCGAGAAAAGTCCAAAAGATTCACAAAACGATCAAAATCAAAAATTTGACTATTCCGAGGGCTAAAACTTAGTTTGAAAAACATTTCGTCGTAACCGCTAATGCAAGGAGCTTTAAAAAATTGTTCCATTCAATGAAACGAAAAAGTAAGATTTGGAAGGGGTAGTTTTCGAAGGAAAAGAATCAGGAAGGAAAAAAATTAGAAATATGGGTCAAATATTCCTCCCATAGACTTTTTCGAAGGCTGTAGACAGCGGGATCAAGTAAAAAGAGAATCTACGGGAGTATGCAGGCACACAAAGGAATAGGTAGTTTTTCAATTGATACCCTTTTTTGAAAATCAGTAGAATTTTCTGAGAAAAACTTAAATTTTTCCAATAAGTTAGGAAAAAATTTGCCATAACGAAAAAAGTGTAGAACAAGAAAACCGAAGAAGTTACTCGAAAATGTTTATTTTTAAAACTTTCAAAGAAAAAATATATGACGTGAGAGATCTTTGAATTTCAACAATTCGTTATGATTCGTACTTTTTTCTTAAGTTTACAGAACACTGGATCATTAAATACTTTTTCTACTCTCCTGGTAAAATTAACTTCCATTTTTGAAACTAGAAGCCATCCACGTACTAGTGACCTGTGAACGTTTTTGGTAGTTGGATAGTGAAGTTTGCCTTCTTTTGAATAAAAGAAATGAACTAAATTTAAAAAGAAATCAGAAGTCAAGCCGCGAAAAATTTTTAGGCGCGAATAAAATTTAAGACTTTTCCGGAAAAAAAAAACAGTCAACTGACAGTATGATAGGAGCAATGAACACAAGAAAATAGAAAAAAGTGACTTACAAGATCAAGTCTAAGTTTCGAATTTTAAAAGAAAAAAATATATGCCCCTAAAACTCTTTAAACTTCAAGAACAATTTTTTTACTGGTGCTTTTTTTGATGAAATTAACTCAATTTGAGAAAACTTGATCAATGAGTAAATTTAAAATTCCACAGGGAAAACTGATACTAAAATTCCACTTTCGAAATTAGAAGTTGGTCACGTTTTTCGTGTCCTTTACATTTCTGTTGTTCGATTGAGGAGCTTGCAAAAAAAAACAAAAAAAATCACCGAGACATATAAAAGTACTCACTACGTTCATTAACTCTTAAAAAAGAAACTATTCAACAAAACCAGTGAAAATCAATTTGGTAAGAAAGATCACAGGAAGATCACAAAAATTTTCACTCCTCTAAAAAAAATCAATAAGTAGCGCTAAAGTTCTACCGAGAACTCTTAATTTTTATTTGCTGCTTTCTGGTCGGTCGAAAATTATATTAACTTAATCTATATAACAATCTAACTCTTGTCTTAAAAGGGTAATTGTAAAAAAGATCTGGATCAGCTACTCATAAAGCTATAGAAAAATCTGGATGATATTTAAAAATGCGCCATTAAAAAGCACGAATATATTGTCATTAGAACAAAATATTCAAAATGCAAACAGAAACCTTTTTGAATTATTTTCATTCATTGTCACTTAAGACTTCAAACATTAGGAAATTGCTTAAATCAGTAAAATATCCCTTTTGTTCACTGACACTTAACTAAGGAAAACGTTAACTGAAATATATTTGCGAGTACACGTCGAAAATCGTTCTATTCACTGACCTGTTTAATTTTGATGCTTAGTCTGACGGAGTTGATAGAAGCCTCAATCAACACTTGCTCGTTCTCGCTTTTCGGAATCACGATCGGATTCAAAAGCAGTTCTTTAGATGACCTAAACATTAGTGGGTATCTGCGAATTGCAGAGGATCTATCAAAGGCTGTGCTACGATAGTCATTAAATTTCCTCGCATTCGAGGATTATTTAGCTTTGAAAAACCAAGTATTTTGGCGACTCGAGGCCGTTATTTGGGTCTAGAACTTTCACGTGGTACCGCTATTGCCGCCGATATCGGCCAGGCTGTGCCAGACCTGAAATTGGCGGTCAAGTAAGAGCTCGTGAACACTTCATCGTTGCCATGGCAGGGGATCTAATACGCCATTTGATGATAAGCCTTATTACAACTTTGTTAAGTGCCTCTGAGTATGACACAGATAATTTAAGTGCTACAAAACCATTTTGTCTAATTTTGTTCTGATGATTCTTCTCAGATTTCAAAAACAATTTAAAATAGCCCAGAAATCTTGTTGACCATCAAAAGTGGTAGGTTTACTTTAACTCTACTTCTGGCTTGTTGTGTCTTTCTACGAGTTGCGAGTCGAAACTCTGTAGGTTCAGAGTTGCATCTAGTGTCTGCCGCACCCTCTCCTTGTAATAGCCACTGAGCCCCTGAGGCTGACCGCCTGCTCCTCCTACCTGTAACCAATCAAAAACATATTCATTGCAATCTTATTAACCAAATGGCAGTCGTCTCTTTCTCACATTTAGCAGTATCTTGGAAATCTAGAATTGAAATATTTTGTAGGCCTAGAATTTAGTGTTGTGTATAATAGGAAAGAGCCTGCTAATCCAATCAAGCATAAACATGAGAACCATGTTTTCAATGCATCGGTTTTGAGTCAGAACTTGCCCAACCATCATGGTGGAATGAACACAATCTTTCATTAATGGTCACATTTATGACCAATAACAAATATTCGGACAACCAACCTTTGATCGCTGAAAGTAAACTTAATTTATATTAACTGCGAATAAAACTGACCATCGCATCCTAATTTGAAAGACGCAGCATTTAAAATGATTTTCTTACCGACATATGAAGCAGATGCAGTTATACAAATATCTTTTCAATTATTACAGGTATCTGAAAAAAGCAGAAACAATTTGAGATCATTCAAATAAATATCAGATAAAGTAAAAATATGTTTCATACGAACGCCCTAAAAGCACTTTTTGGCATTCGTACTTCGATATGGAATACAGATTTTCCATTTGGTCCAAATTTTGATTCCTGCTATATTGAATATCACATTCGTCCAGCCCAATCAGTGAAAGACAAAATAGGAAATTTAGTGACGTTCAGTAAACAAAAGACATTTATATACACGCGCGAATCAGCTCTTTTATACATCAGAAAAACAAACAGCAAATACTGGCTTTCAATACATAGGCAAGGCAAAGCTTTGCAACACTTGCAATAGAAAAATTATTAACCCATTGGCCGAGAATTTATTTCGCTAGACGCAGTGCTCCAGTAAAGTTTGATCACAGTTTTTTCTAGAGGTTGGAGACAGAAATGAAGTTATCGTATTTTTTAATTATAATTTTTTAAAGTTCTTTTCTCCAACCCCCAGAAAAAACTGAGATCAGATTTTATGCGGAACACTGCCTCTAGCGAAATAAATTCTGGGTCAAAATTACATAAACGCTTGCTAATCGCAAGCGTAAAAATGTGAAACAAGAGTAAGACCAAAACCAGATCATTCGAAGTTGCAAAACAATAACCATCGCTACCGAACGAAAGGTTACAATCATACATAAATCGCCAAAATTTTCTCAGTAAAAGCTAAAAACACAATTAAACAACCTGTACGAGTAGAATTAACAACAATGAACTAAAAAGAACTGAAGATGTGAAAAACTATAGATGGAATGCGAAATATTTCACACTCGATAGATATTCATTCCAGGAAAACATGCATTATGCTTGATTTTTAAATCAGCAACAAAGGAACAAAATTTACAGAAAGAAACGAAGCCGACAATCTTTGAGCAGACACAAGTTGAGCCGAAAAAATATGCTTTAAGTCCCACTTTAAACAACAATGGATAACAATTTCACTTGAAACTACTATGTAAATTGTGTACAGCATAGGAAAAATCTGTGATGTGGCATCTAAGCCAACAAGCTTTTGAGCATACACCAACTGAGCTGACGAAAAAACTTTATGAAAACTTTTTTTTATAAATCTTTCAAGTCCCCCTTGAAATTAGAATTAACAACACTTGATCATCATCGAACAAAAACTTCAAAAGAGTCGATTTTATATTCTTCATGGGGCCATAAACGTCCAAATTTGAGTTGGCTGAAACATAGTTTAGGCTTTTCACTGTTCTCATGAAATAACTGTCACATGTGGAAAATTTCCGAGAAACGAGAGCAGAAAACATAATTTTTTGTTTTGATCTGTTTCCAGACAAAAGATACATAATGGAAAACATTAAAACCATAGTAATTTTGCAATAATTTGCAGAACAGGATACAATCAGACAAAAATGAGATGATAGCATATTGACAATAACTCCAGTTGAACCAGAGCTTGTTTATAATCATGGCATCCTGCTATCAAGCGAGCAGCCTTCTTTTGCAGATTTTCTAGTTAACATAAGAATGTAAAACTGGGGTAACAAATACAAGAATTATATAACAAAATGGATCGTACACAAGAGATAGACATCTGATATTTCCTTTTGATAAGGGGAAATAAATGAAACAGCGTGGACGCTTTACCAGGTTGAGAGCCAATATGATGGTTCCAATAAAAGCTTGTAGAAATAAGAACGCCCAAAACTTTGATTTGCTCAACACAATCTTTTGATGCCTCATTTAGATTGATGCCTCACGGGGGGAGGAAACATTTGAGATTAGTTTATACTTATCACGATGAAAACCGAGGCCGTTGAGTTCACATCACAAGAAGATTCCGTTCCGTGTATGTCAGACTGTAAACAAATCAAGCATGAGCCACTATATAGAAGTTTCAGGTCATCAGCGAACAGATATAGAATAGAATGCTTTACAACATCAAGTAGATCGTTGATTAAAACTAGGAATTGTAGGGGGGTGGGGCGAGGATGCTCCAATGAGGAACGCCGCTTGATACGCGCGTTTCAAAGTACAGAACGGTTTACAGGCACCCTCTGAAAGCGAATCGACCAACAGGAGAAAATGAGACGAATAACTGAGTCATCAAAACCAAAAACTGTAAGTTTGTTGAGCAAAACATTATGGGACACAGATTCAAACGCTTTTTGCATATCCAAAAAGACAGCAAAAGTCTTCATTGTCCTCATTGCAACTATAAAGTTTATCAATGTAATTTGAAAGTTGCGTGAAGGTGATGCGCCTTTTCATAAAACCGTGTTGGCTATAAGACAACTTATGCCGAACTTTGGAATACATAAAATTATTAACTAGTTTTTCGAGACAAAGACAAACGTGGGAGGATACTGATACCACGAAAGTTATAAACGCCTGATTTCTATTTATGTATTCGAATAACATATGCCTCTTTTCAAATATTGGTTCAATAACAGCAAAAAAAAATTTGAGAGAAAAGAAAGTACATAATAAGGGAAAGAATTTTGGCGTTTCGACTCAGCACAAATGGTGGAATCCCATCAGCTGCCACTGCTGAAGTATAGGGTTTATTATGTAACAGATAAATAATATCCTTTTCAGAGAAAAAAATTTCGGAAGGTGTGATAGTACTATGTTGTCGGAAAGTGGGATATACCGTGTTGTTTGTAATAAACCAAGCTTTCAGGCTTAAAATCAATAGGAAAAAAAGTATTAAGCAGACAAGCTTTTCCTTCATCGTTCTCAGCTCTTTAGGAATCATAATGAATAATGGATGGAATAGAAATGGAGCCAGAAAGTTGATTAAGTAGCTTGAAACAAACGCTAGTATTCAATGAAAATAGAGGACAAAATAAACATTTTGCCCAGTTCAATTGAATTTTCCAGTTCATGTTGAAGAGATGACAGTTTCGTAGAACAAATAAAACTAAAGTTAGCCAGTCTACACTTCTCAGTAGAAATTTAAATACTGAGATGAACAGAGTTGCTTGCGAAACAGAAAGGCTTTAATGAACGTTTGCTGCGTTTAAGGATAATTGAATTTGATAAAGAATTAGCAGTGTGTCATACCACGCAATATAAAAGTTAGACGGCGATAAAAAGTAATAAATTTGAAACAAGTAATTAAAACAAAACAAAGTGTTAAAGAAATTGGATCAGTTAAAAGATCCTTACGAATAAATAGGAGTATCAAAAGCAGATTTTGTGGGATAACTATCATTTGAAGAAACGTGATAACTGACAGACAGAACGGTCAAAATAAAAAAAAACTCTGTCAACACAGAGTAAACACAGTTCAGGTTTGTTTGTAAAAATAAGATCAAGATTATTTCCATTAGTATGAGTAGGCTCAGAAATAAGCTGCTGGCAGTTTAAATTAACAAAATGGTCAATTATGACTTGGGAAACAGTGTCAGGACTGGAATACGGACGCCAGCAAATACTTGGTAAATTACAATCGCCAATAATGGCTGTAACACCATGTGGGAACGTTGAAAGAAAAATGTTGATGTAAAGAGTGGTACAATTTAAGAGAATTTCGTTGTCTATGTGAAAAGCAGAAGAAAGCGGGGGGATATAAACAGAAATTATAAGAACAGAGGGTTCAGAGCATAAAACTAGACCACATGCAAAATCAAACTCGGGTAGTGTATAGTCCCATGTTGTGACCGGAAAAATATCTTTCACAAAAATAGCAACACCGCCGTGTTGCCCCGATAAGCGGACAGTTTGAGAAACCGTTTTGTAACAAGACTCTGGCAAAATGTTGGGAATGTTAGTCTCCAGCCAGGTTTCACAGACACAGAGGATATCTGGGGAAAGAATATGTAAAAGTTTTAAGCATGCCTAACGTTTATCAATACTGATAAGGCTTCTTGATTTCCAACCAGTAATAGTAGTGGAACTGAGTCACAAATTTGTCTCATTTTCGGTATTGTTGTGCAGAATTTTGAGGTTTCAATTTTTAAGCTCGGTTTTTGGAACACCATTTTTAATCATTTCCCAGCGTTTTCTAAAGCAAGCTCATCATCAGAGAGCGGTCTAGAGATGAATATAGGAATAGGGTGGTTTTTTAAAAGAGATGCTTTCGTGAGACATTTACGAGGAGCTGACCATTCAGTTGAGAATTGAACGAGGAGAATGAAACTTGGGCGATTGTTGGAGATTTTAAAAGCCCAAAGGCGCCTGATAGACGAAACACTACGGTGATCCCAATCAACCAGAGTTTAAAGAACATCAGAAACATGCCTTTTATCGAATTCCAATTTCTTCAATTGAAAGAAGCCAGAGGATTCAGGGATTCCCTGTACACGGATCTCAAGTTAACAATCAGTGTTTACCGAAGATCGTTTCAGTTGATTTGATATTGCTAGATCAGTAGTTCCAATTGTACCTTCGACTAATTTATCAGGAGTAATAGGTAGCTCAGAAAAAGCTTCCTTGATAACTTCTTTTTGCACTCACAGGAGAAACCGGTAAATTTTTCTTTTGGAAACAGGAGTTACATCTGAACAAAAGCAACTTAGCTTTAGCAATCTGGGGAAGGAGGTCGCACTGAATCCATTGGGAAACTCCACGTTTGATGCATTCTGCACACTACTCGTTGAAAAGTTTCAAAAATAAAACCCATTACTTCCATGAATGCAGCTGCAGAGATGAATTTCCAGGACTTACAAGAAAGCTAAACCATCAAAAATAATCCATACTACATGAAAGAGGTCGTCAAAAATATACAGAATGACGATATTCAGAATTTGCTAGTTAAAAAAGGTTCCAGTCGGATTCGAACCACAAGCTTTTGTCGTCTCAAGAGGGAGTGTTACCTTTAGGTCAGCCACGCTGAGTGGTTGATTACTTTTGAATTAAGTATTAGTCAAAACGAAACATCAGCAAAATCTTGTCAACTGAGTTGTTAGCGGAAGAAAAAAAGTCTTGTAACCGGTAGCTTATCGCAAAGTCAGGAATAATGAGACTAACAATTTCATGAATCAGGTCCCACCTGA